AAGCATTATTGTAAAATCTTTTTGCTCACAGCTTGTACCATGGCCTGTGTCGCCTGTCATTCATTGTGAAATTGCTTGGTTTGCATTTCTGCTATTTCGGTAGCCTGGTATATTTATATACAGCTTTCAAGTGTTAGCTGGCGTTCTCTGAGGAGCCTTTCGTTCAGTTTTGAGTCTAGCACTCCACAAACAATCCTATCCCTGATGAGACTATCTTTTAATGTGCTAAAGTTACAATCTTTTGCTAACTTTTTTAAGTCAGTAACAAACTGATCGACAGTCTCTCCTCGTTTTTGTACTCTACAGTTGAAAATGTGCCTGAGTACAGTCTCATTTGACTGAGGCATTAAGTAGCATTCAAACAAATCAAGCAGCTTAACATGGTCTTTATTTGTATCTTCATCTACTTCCATTGTGTATTGCAAATTTCTAGGGCTTCAGGTCCTATTGTATGCAGCAATACAGCCACTCCACTCTCACCTGGTCTTTTGACACTTTCTTTTATGCCTGAAGCCAGCAGTGGCGTATTCAGGGGGGTGGGGCAAAGGGGGCAATTGCCCCCCCCCAGAGCTACAACTTTTTATTTCTTAAAAATATGTCAAATAATAAAAAATAAATTCAAGAATGTAATAAAATTGATTCCATAAATATTACTTTTTCCAACTGCTTAAACAGGTAGCTTTTTTGTTCTAACATACAACAATTTGGTTTTTTTTTGCTTGTACAGGGTGTCCCAAATTCGAGGGTGACCATTGAGATATCGGAAACTATTAGAGATACGAGGTTGGTTAAATTATGGCAAAGTTGCGCAATTTTTTTACCAATAAAATGCCGTTTTGAAATTTGGAAAATTCCGAATACTTCCGAAGATATTCGGAAAAAAACGAAATTTTGATCATTTTTATTTTTTCTTGAATCTATTTGAAGAGCAATTTTAAAATAAATGTCACTTCATCATTGTCACTTTTTCCCCTATACAAGATGTTGCTACTAAATTTCAGATTCGAAGTTTCGTCTTTAGGGGGCCATCAACAACTTTATTTTTCTAAATACGGACCCTTATTTTTTATTTCAGATTTTAAGAGCTTTTGATGTCCCAAAGCCTATGACGTATCGTATTTATTCGAAAAAATTATAATATTGGCACTTTCCATAAGAACTTAATGTGTTAAAGAGAGACAGAGAAGAGAATTTTGGTAGAAAATTACTAAAAAGTAATTTTCGAATAAATGCGATACGTCATAAATTTTTGGACACCAAAAGCTCTTAAAATCTGGAATAAAAATCAAGCGTCGTATTTAAAAAAAATAAGTTGATGATGGTCGCCCAAAGACGAAACGTCGGATCTGAAATTTTATAGCAACATCTTGTAAAGGGGAAAAAATGACAATGATGAAGTGACATTTATTTAAAAATTCCTCTTCAAATAGACTCAGGAAAAAATAAAAATGATTTTGCAAAATTTCGGTTTTTCCCGAATATCTTCGGAAGTATTCGGAATTTTTCAAATTTTAAAACGGCATTTTATTAGCTATAAAATTGCACAACTTTGCCATAATTTAACCGACCTCGTATCTTTTATAGTTTCCGATATCTCAATGGTCACCCTCGAATTTGGGACACCCTGTACATATACATATTGCAATAGAGAGTTTGAGTTTTATGTTATTATTTTGCATTTGCCAATAATACAGGGTGTTCCTAAATATCATGTACAAACGGAAGGAGGTGATTCTTCTGTTTTTTTTCATGACTAAAATTTCTAATAAACATAAGTCCGCAAACGCTTGGTTACCGATCTACAGGGTGTTGAAATTTCATTATTTTTTACAGAGCCTGTAATTTTTGAGGGATTTAGCTCAAATTTGAAATTTAGGTTACGCAATAGGAGCTTGATGATTGCACATGTAAAACTTTTGCCAGAATCTATAAAGTGATACTTTTCCAAGGGTCATGCCCCCTTTTCTGCCCCTGAACTTTTTTGTGGTACGCCGCTGGTAGATTCTAAAAAAACAAAGCAATGTTTCTACCTTGTTTAAAAACTTTTTGTTCTCTTGTAGTAACTAGAAAAAAAAATAAAAAACAATTCTCTGTGATTAAGTAGATGAAACTAATTTCTTTGGAATGTTCTAGTAGGCTTTATTTGGATTTTCTTTTGTTTCTGGAAAGCGTTTGACATGTGCAATCATTTTGCTCCTATTGTGTAACCTATATTCCAAATTTGAGCTAAATCCCTCAAAAATCGTAGGAGCTATAAAGAAAAAACTAAAAAATTATTTAAATTTCTACACTCTGTAACGAAGCGTTTGCGACCGTTTGTACATGATACTTAGGAACACCCTGTCTGTATAAGTATACCGGTATACCTATATTTATATTTTAGTTAGTCCAGTGTGATTTTTTTTAGTAATTTCAAGAATATATACCTACCTTTGACCTTTAAATTTAATTTTAGTTTGATTTTGTGTTACATGTTACCTACTTGTTTCTTGAAAGTCGATTTCTTAGGAAAACAAATAATTTCAATTATCAACCTCTTATCGTTTTGATGAGCCGCCCAAAGTTTTTTTCAGTGGTAGCTCGCAGGCTAACATTACGGAACCACAAACCATGGCACTACCTTATTTTTCTGTAAAAATATATTTTTTGTCCTATAAAAGTATTGAGAGAAGCGCGCGGAGACGCCATTAGGATGTGTGGTTTTGAAGACTTTTGGGAGTGGCACCTCAAAAAAAATTTCATACCTGGTTTGCCCCCCCCAGAACTTAGGCTGGATACGCCACTGGAAGCCAGCATATATATTGCAAACTGCAACTTCCATCTTTTGAAGTTTTCCCTCAGATCACCATCTAGTCTCATTATTCAAACGTTGAATTGTAGAAGAATGTAAATCCATCTTGAATTAAATGAAAAACGAATTGGTCTATTCTCACAATCCTCATGTATTTGGCTTCTAGTTGGAGACATCTGTTGTTAAAGACAACATTGGTATCTTCTTTATTGTAAGTTCCTTAAACTTGTAGGTTATATCTGCTAGACATTCATTATTCAAACGTTGAATTGTAGATAGATGTCAGTCCATCAAGGACACAAAAATCAAATTGGTCTATTCTCACAATCCTCACGTATTTTGCTTCTAGTTGAAGACATCTGTTGTTAAAGAAAATTTTGTCTTCCAAATTGTAAATTCCTTAAACCTGTAGGTTATCTCTGCAAGACATACATTACTCAAACGTTAAATTGTAGATAAATGTGAGTCCATCGTCCATCTCAAAGAAGATGTACCCAGATACCAAGATTTTCTTTAACAACAGATACCTCCAACTAGAAGACTATGAGAAATAATAGACCAATTCGTTTATTTATTTGCTTCAAGATGGACTCACATTTATCTACAATTTAACGTTTGAATTAAAATAGATATTAAGATCTATAGACCAACCTGGAAGTAAAATGAGTATTTATACTCAACTACACCCCGACATTATGCTCTTCCAAGATAAAAAGAAAAACTAGTTTTCAGAGATGCTGATTTGTTACAATTCAAGATTAGTTATTTGTCGAATTAACATGTTTCCATACCCAACATTATCTGCAACTGTTTCAAGCAATAAATATTACAACTTTATCCAAATTATCATTTCCAAAAAAATAAAATCATATTGCATAGTTCAAATAAAGTTAAAATTAATGCCCCGAAGCTAAAAATATTCCCAATCCGAATCGAAAATCCAATATTTTCTCTCCAAATATTCTAGTTTGTTTTCGTAAGTGACACTCGACTTCTAGTTGAAGTCAGTATCGTGCAAGCACCGTAAAAAAAGTGTGACACGTCAATTAGGGATCATGCGAGCGCTATAAGCAGGAGGAAAACTTTCAAGGCATGTGAAGTTTCGCACCTGCCTCTTACAAATTATAAAGTTACCGAAGTCGAACGTTGAAAGATCTGTTTTAAATTGAGTTATTTTAGGATTTGATTATCATACAAGATGGGGTACAATGCAGATGAAATTAATCATAAATAAAATCAGCGATTAATATAAATATTTTGTCTCGGATATTTTTAAGCGTGAGTGTGAATAATTAATTTCCAAACACCATCAATTGCAGTTGCCTATCACTTTATTTAACAGCTCATTATCTTAATCAAACTCTGCTGATGAAATGCAATTTTAATACAATAATATCGATTCGTTTCACGTCAGCAAACAATACCTGCACATTCAACTAATAGTGCCTCATTAACATAAACATTTATTTTAGCTTGATGAACCTGTGAATTGATTTTCAATCAATTTAAACTAAAAAGCCCATTTTTGTTTCTCTTCTAATATGTACTGAAAAACAGATTTCTGCAGCATGGAAATGGAAAAATACATATTTAATTGGAATTTTTATGGATGTGACAGTTTGTTGGGGCATTTTATTGGAAAATAAAATCAAATTGTCAGAGCTTTAAATTACAATGTTTGCTTTATCGTATAAAATTGTAATAATTGTCTTCAATCCAAGCAGAAAAAATTGGTTGCACGTCAATACAGATATAAAAATACTGTGTGAGTGAAGCCCTCCAAGAATTTAATAATTTTCGTCCAAGAAAATATTAATAAGCAAAAATCATTCGGGAAATGAGAAAAACGAGTAAAAAATCTTAACTTAGGGTTTCGTGAATAATAAATAGAAAGAAAATTTAATTTAATTTCACAGAGATTTGAAATGTGTATCAGTCCGTTCATTCAGAAAATATAAATGAATAATTTTGCTTTAAAGTAATTTGGATTTTTCTAGGGATTTAGTTAGGATTTCACGATTATTCAAAAAAAAAAACATCCTAATACATTTTATGATATCACAAAAAGTATCATACCTATTAATATAGGAAAATTGTGGTATGAAAACTCCTGTACGTTTTTAGCTTATCTTTTCAGAAGTTAATTAGAAGTTTCTTGGTGTATGGACACTGAATTTAGGATAAAAAGCTAAAATTTATCTGAACTTACTTGGGTGTCGGTTTTACTTTTTGTACAGCAGCAGTGAGTTTATTAAGTTCCAGAATGTCCATCCATGTGACTTGGAAATCTGAAAAGAAAAAAAAAACATTTGATATTTTTCGTTACTGTATTTCTAAGTAGAATTTAATTGATAATATAATTAATTCTGTCTGTGCAGTTTCCTGGAATTTCTATTTTGAATATATAATTCAATTATTGTGTGCATTTATTGCAATGGACAGATGAAGGTTTGTTATTTTTAAAAAGAATTAGTTTGACGAATATTTTTAGAAAAACTAGAAAGTATCTTCACCCTTAATTTAACAAATTTATCATTCTCGGGAGTAACCATCACAGGTGCACGTCAAGTTATAGTTAATCACGCCAAATATTTCAAAAGGCATTTGATGTGTAACAGACGGTAATACTGCGGACAAAAATAACAAAAACAAGTGGGCAACTTAAAAATATTTGGGTAACCGAGTTTTTAAACTGAAAATATCTAAAGCGTAAACTTAAAGAGAGTATTAAAGAAAATAAAGAACTGATTTTGGCCAAGAATAATAAGGATATTTTAATTATCTTTGGCCTTCGCTCTATCTGAAGGTTTTTCTATTAGCAATTAGTATTTTTTTTATTAAACTTATTGGTAATAGGTTTTTGAAAAACTTTCCAAAATATCTAATCTAGTTATATACTTGTCAGCTTGAACAGCTTTTGGAATCCAGGATGATCTCACGAAACGCTTGAAAGTAGTTATAGAATCCAAACTTGGGTCGAATTTTTAAATATCTTTATCTTGCTTTCAGCAAATAAGTATATTCCTATCTTTCTCCAACTTCTGATTCTGAAATGATTATTTTCAACTTGATGACCTAATTAATTAGTGGTTTTGTGTTTCTAACATAACCTTAAATTTAAATCGTTATAATTTGTAAACAATTGCAATGATTCTATGGTGTATTTTTCCCAAGATAGATTTTGACATTGAAAACTTTGAAACATAAACAATACCGCTTGGCCCTGATTGGTCGCAAAATGAGGTGACCCTGCAGGTTGACATCAGTTTTACAATGCATGTCGTGCAAATGGCATCTTGCAACCAATAAGCAGCATTGTTTATGTTTCAAAGTTGACAATTTCAAAATCTATCTTGGGAAAAAATAAACTGTAGTGTGTTTTTATTTATTCACATTTGATCAGCGTGGTGTTTTATTAATGAAGTGAACACGGTCTTTTGTCTGTGTTGAGTGTTGTCTTCTGATTGGTTCAATGGTTAGTACGCAGTTAAGTATAAAAAAACACAAGACTGGTTTTTTTAACGGATTTTGGTTCTGAAAAGGTCTTCTCTTGCAGACCGTTGATCAGGCAAGACGATTTTTCACTTTGTAATTTTTTTTTTCCTCTTCAGATTTCTAGATTTTCCCTTAATATTTTTCGTTTTATTTCACCATCAGTGTCTACTATCACTGTTGGGTTTTTATTACCTGATAGATCTTATCTTATCTACCTTTAGAATATAAATATTGTATTTAAATTTTTTATCTATTGTGAGTCTCCATATTGTATGGTGCCACGTTTTTTTTTTGAGGAGAGTCAATTCAGAGTTTTGGCAAATAAATAGGTATTGCTACTTTGGTTTTAGGAATCAATTGTTAGTGTGGGATTATTGGACCATTTGCTCTAAGAGAGTCGGTGTAAACCAAATTTGTGTGTCCATTCCTATCAACACTTTGCCAAATTCAGGCAGAGGCCTGTATAGCCATTTTGACTCTCTCATTATATTCTAGAAGAAGGCGAGTGCTGAAAGGGTGAAATTTTGAGATAGAAATCCGGAAATTCATTTGAAACGTTTTAATTAAAACATCTCAAGAATTTTGACAGTTCCTTGGATTTAATTTATTTCACCCTCAGCTTTATCTTGTAATACCAATAGGTACCCTAACTTAAGATTTATCTATTTGGGGAAAATCTAGAGATTTATTTTTTTATCATCTTTTTTTTATAATTTTTTACCATCGACTAAATTCTTCCGCGAGTAATCTATTCATCTCAAATATTTAGGTTTCAAATTCGTTCAAATAATTTCATACCTGTCAATGATGTTATTCTGATATTTACCAGGTAAAAAATATTTTCCATTTTCCATCAATAAATAGATGGAGCTGCCACTTCAAAATAAAAACCTATTCTCTCCAATTAGTTTTATTTATTTTTTTATCTTGCTTTCCATTACCTTTCTGAAATACCTGCAGTCGACATTTTAATAATGGTTATTGTATTTTCTAAAAGGGCCATTTTAATTGAAGTTTTTAATAAATAGGTAGCTAGCTGCATTTGATATATTCTAAATCGATATTTATGAGGTTTATTATTCAAACCCATGCACGTAAATCTGAAATATTCTTCCTCAATTATAATCCCGCGTCAAATACTTTTGAAAGTTCTTGCCAAACAAACATTAAGTCAGCAAAGTAGGCATTTCAGCATCACAATGCCATGAATAAGTATGATTTATTTAAGGGCTTTTCTAACATAGAAAGCGTGATGGATACAAAATAACAATTTTAATGCAAGACGGCTGCTCAAAACAATACCCTCGGTTAATCTTTGCGGATTCGTAGTTGGAAAGTTATATATGAGAGGGTTAGTAGTGTTACTTATTCATACAAGTGTCCAAATCCGCTCAAAAGGGCTTCATGAAGGCACTGTTAAGCCATTGAACCTAACATAATGATCATAAAGGAATTATATTCTATTGAGAATTTGGCCCACACACACAAGCTCATAAAGGACGACTTCCAATTTCTAAACATGCATCGATTGATTCATAGCTGATGCACTTGGAGTTTCTCAACTCCGTCCCTAAACTCCTTTTGTTGGAAAATACACGCGCAAACTTTCCAGAGAGAGGATTGTTTTGGGGAAAACGTTTATCGCGGTTATTTGTTTATGTCAAACAAAATATATTTTTAATTGCTGTTATAAAATATAAAGTCTCAATTATTCAATGTTCAAACAAAAAATTGTTTACGCTGCTCTATGTATGATACATAAATTCTGGACGAAAAAGCATTAAACTTTTTTATTATTTTTCCTACTCCCTAGTCCCTATACCGTATGGCCATTCCCACAGTAATAATTGTTTTATGCAAAGCGCAGACTTAAGTTGGAAAGAACTAGAACAAAGAGAAAAGGAGAGCGCACGCGAAAAAGAACTGCTCTGCACTTAATATATTTCATCCGATAAACACCATCAAAGTTAGAGGGAGTAAAATCGGAAGAGAAAAGCGTGGAAATACAGCATTTAAATGAGCTTTTCAGAAACAGACATTTGTCAAATGGCTTGCGTTAAGTTTTGCGTTTTTTTTTTTTTTTTTGTTGTTGTAGTGCAGTTGTGGTGGCTTGCTGAATAGAAATGAGATTGCTCGGTTATTACGGTTGTCCGACACAGTTTTATTAATATACTTTTTGTCCGAATAGACAATACATCGTTCGGACAGGACCAAATCATTCGGAATAAATTGAAAAATGTGAAAATCAAATTAATTTTCTAGTAATATTTCACAGTTGAAATACGATGCCAAAAAGCCAGAGAATAAGAGAGAGAGAGTGCGTGAGACTTGTTAGCTTAATGCCTGTTGGTAATAAGTTTTATGGATTTTGTTTGTGGCCTTTAGCGATGATAATCGCTGGAAGATAGCATCACAAAAGGATGAAAAATTGCCCCTCCTTCGGTTTCTTATGAGGCCATTAATGAAGTTTTTAGCGCTCAAAAATCTTTTCTGGTTTTTCTTTTGGGGCTAAATAAAGATAAATATGAAGAGATTTTTAATTAATTTATTGAGGCTATCAAGATCAAGCTTGAGCTACCTTTTTTCTTTCGAATTGATGTAGTGATTAGATAGAACTGAAAATTTGACTCCTCTTACCTACTGGAAAACTAAAAAGCCCCTGTCAAAAATTACACACATTTTTAATAGGTACTTCAATATTCATTTGTATTTTTGTTATGTTTTCTGTATCATTTTTTATTTAAATTTAATGGAGAAAATACAAATTTATAATGAAAGTTAGAAGAAATGGAACATGTTACGAAAATGATAAAGGACCCCGCAATATTTAAACGGAAATTGGTTACCCGTGATATTTGGATGAGATTCAAATATGTTATTAAAAATGCCGTAAGCAACATTTTTTACCATGGGCGCAACCTTGTATATATGACAGGTGAGGCGATATCGGCTGTCAAATATTGGAATTTAAAATTCAAAAGCAGGGTACCTAACTATGGCAGATTTTGATGAAGCAAGTATCGATTCCCAATAAGTCAACCAAGGAAAATCGAAAAATGTCAACCATTTTGACATCTGTCAAAACCCTGCCAAACAGCAGCACTCATATTTTTCAGTTTTCAATATTTCATGATGTGTCATTTGACAGTTTTAGTCTATGTCAATTCTCAGTTGAAAACTTAGAAAAAAAAATGACAGAACTGTCAAAACCTGTCATTTATTTTAGTAGGAAAAAAGATTCATGTCTGGTTCTTTTTTGTTTTAAGGTAGTTTATTGGTAATAAAACATTAAGCAAAGCTCATAGACATCAAATTTTGACAGCTGTCAAAATTAGAAACCTGTGTATAAGTTTTTTTATGCTTCATAATAAATATGCATAACTTAAATAATTGGAACAGAACTAGAGTTCAGTTTTTTTTTTCTTCAATTAAAGCTAATGTCAGATTCTGACAGCTGTCAAAATTTGATGTCTATAAGTTTTGTTTAATGATTTATCACCAATAAACTACCTTCAAACGAACAAGGGTCAGATTGGATTTTTTTTTTGTTACTAAAACAAATGACATGTTTCGACATTTCTGTAATTTTTTATTTTTTTTTTTCAATTTCTGAACTGAGAGTTTACATAGGTTAAAACTGTCAAATGACACAACATGAAATATTGAAAACTGAAAAATATGAGTGCTGCCGTTTGGCAGGGTTTTGACAGATGTCAAAATGGTTGACATTTTTCGATTTTCCTTGGTTGACTTATTGGGAATCGATACTTGCTTCATCAAAATCTGCCATAGT